ATATTTCTGCTGCAATGTCTTCAAGTTAAACTAAACTTTTATTTTGACGGGTTGCCGTGAAGAACTTGCAGCTGCTGTGTATGTGATATGACAGTAGTTTTCTCAAATGAACGGTAAAATGCTAATAAAGTGACTCTCAGAGCAGCTGGAGGTGACATTCGTGTTCATATCATCATATAGTGACCAAGGTAAATAAGGGTGACATCCAGTGGAGAAGACTAATGATAAGATTCACGTTAATCAGATCTTATTTTAAATGCTGCTTTTGAGAATCGATATCGAATCGACGTAATTAAAAAAAAACGATTAATCGAATTGTACACTACTGGTCAAAAGTTTGGGATCAGAATGATTTTTCTGGAAACTGTTGTGCTGCTTAATATTTTTTTGGAACCTGTGATACTTTTTTTCAGGATTCTTTGATGAAAAAAACGTTAAAAAGAAGAGCATTTATTTAAAATGGAAATTTAGAGTGGCCTTTTATTGTGGCCAGCCTAAGGCACACCTGTGCAATAATCATGCTGTCTAATCAGCATCTTGATATGCCACACCTGTGAGGTGGATGGATTTTCTCGGCAAAGGAGAAGTGCTCACTAACACAGATTTAGACAGATTTGTGAACAATATTTGAGAGAAATAGGCCTTTTGTGTACATAGAAAAAGTCTTGGATCTTTGAGTTCAGCTCATGAAAATGGGGGCAAAAACAAAAGTGTTGCGTTTATAATTTTGTTCAGTATATATATCAGCCACAAAGTGTAAAATAGTACACTTAAGATACACTTTTTTTTTCTTGAAATCATTATTGAAGAACACTATGATCATGTAACTTTCAGTGCAGAGATGGAAGAAAGTCTGTAGTTCCTCATGTCATCTCTGTCAGTGCAAATGTGGATAGAGGGATGCTGGCTTACCTATTTAACTCATTTCAATTGCTGAAGAAAACCGACAACAAACAAAAGCTTCATCAGAGGATGGTAAGCTCATGTTTTTCTTTCCATTTTTAGTATTAAAGTGCCCCTGTTATGCCATTTTAAAGGTTACTATCTTTGTTTTGGAGGTCTCCTGCAATAGGTTTACATGCATCCAAGGTCAAAAAACACTTTCATTTTCTCATAATATACATTACAAATCACCTAATTTCTCAAACAGTCCAAAACGATTCTTTCAAATCTTCAGTCTCTCTAAACCCTTCCTTACCGCAAACCTACGCTGCTCTTAATTGGTCAGATGGTGCAATCTGTTGTGATTGGTCTACCGCTTACAGTGCTTGTTGGCAACGAAACGGCCATTACAATATCTTAATTCAGCACTGGAGGCTTCCTCAATCCTCAGAGATTGTAAACACCATAATGACGGTAACGATGGTGTTAATTTTACTTTATCAATTTGAGCACAAGTCCGATTATGAAACATTGGAAGAACTAGATGATCAACCTGAACCTCCATCGCAAGCACGACTTGAGCAGAGCATTTCTCAGTGGTAAGTTTTTACTTAGTTTGTGGAACATTATGAGATGCAACTGTACTGCATCAGCATTAGCAAGTGTATGTCCATCAACAAACTGATGTGTATATTTCTAATATATTGAGGCGTGTAGCGTGTGGACCAATCAGACACAATTATTTGTTATATTCAACAAATAATCCTTAACACCCCTCACTCAACGAACAAGCCAACTATGAGACACAGAGTTCCCGCGGGTCCTTAAAAAGTCTTAAATTTAGTTGTATAAAATTTAAGGCCATAAAAAGTCTTAAATTGTACAAGAAAGTCTTAATTATGATTTCAGGAGGTCTTAAATTTGGGGACGGAAAGACCAGAATTGCGATATGGCTTAATGTGACGATTAAACTTCAAAAGGCTATGATTTCATTGAATATGAGCGCTGCACATTTCAAAGCCAGGTGCTGCCCTGCTTTGTGTACTGCTGTTACCAGGGAAACAGTTATATTTCTGCCATTCTGAAAGCACCTCCTGCTGGCAGAGAATGAATAAGCCGGGTATTCCTGCAGTTTCAGGACAGCATTTCTGGGACCCTATAGTTTTATTTTTTTTATGTATGTAGTACAAATTAGTATGTTTATTAGTACATTAATAAATTGTAAATAATTTGAATACAAATACTAGTTTACAACATCCAGCAGCACAATGAACTGTTTTGTACAGCTAAATAGGCTAAATGGAGATTGCTGACATCGCCTCACACACTCAAGTTCATGCCAGCTCTTACATTAAAAATAAGATGGAAAGATTAAAAATTGAATAGTTTCCATGGATCTAGTCTTTTGCATCTGTTTGTTTGATGTTTGAATCAGGTCTCCTTTGTTGGAATAGAATTGGCTAGATGGCGCTGTCACAAAAAAATAGCGTCCTAGTGAAACTGCAGCCTCCGGTATTGCAGGAACAGAGTATTGGGGTTGTTTTTGTTCAGACCAATGTGAAAATCAACCCATGTTTTTACCCTGCAAACACGCAAGCTGTAAATGTGAACTGGTGGATCGATAAGAAGATAATGCATTATAAAAATATAAACCCATAAAATGTTTTTATATGTTATTTAATTCATATAATAATTAATTGATGATAATTGTTTCAATTAATATAATAATTAATACTTTTGACTCATCCATTTTATTAAAAAATAGTTTAAAAGCTGAAATGTTAAGTGTATCATTTTATTAAAAAAATTGTTTTTGTGAAAACTTGTATGCTTTTTACAGTCATTTTACAGTTAAATATGTTAATATAGACATTGCTCTACCCCGCTCATACGGTATTAATTTTATTTGTGCAGGTCTTAAAAAAAGTCTTAAATTTGAGCTTAAAAATCCCGCAGAAACCTTGGTCTATGGACCCTTCCCCCAAAATGCAACTAACACCTCAAAAAGGCAGAACAGGCCTCTGGTTCCATGGCAACCAAAGACAAATCATCTGATAACACCGGTTTTATTGATCAAAGGAATGCGGGCAAAGCAAATTGCCCATAGAAATGGACTCTTCCCTATTAATTCATAGACAAACCTTTCTATGACCTTCCTATCATGCATATCCCCAGGTCATTGTGTATATTGTTACTGTTCCTGTATATTGTCTTTTGTTTTGTATACTGTTTTATGCATGCTTATGATAGAAACCTTAGTTAATATGACCTCACCTCAAAGGGTTGTAAACTTTCCCTCCAAATGTTCAAGACACCATTGGCTCTTTGGTCCTCCAGAGGTGTGACCTCCATAGAAGTTAAAAGGCCTCACATCAGTGACCTGCCTAGCTGTTGGCTTTTGTCTCTTGGCTCTCTCTGTCGTCACCTTCCCGTCTTCTGCTGGGCCATCGCAGCTGCACCTGGCAGACCTCAACTACAGCCATGTCTTCACTTTCCATCTAGGAGAAAACTCTCCCAACCACCACTGATTCAGAATAACATCTTTGTAGTTCATCACTCTTCAAACCCGGAAGAATGTGATCGCAATTCCAACACCACCAAACCTTCAAACCATCAAGACTTTCATCCGAGACTGCATCCGGACGCTCGTTCAACGACCAAGGCAATGCAAGTATCGTACATTTAACTAAATGAAACAGGGTTAGTATAAGCTGTAGACCCCATTATAAAACGGCGCTGATGGTTTCACTCAGGTGGTTAACTGATTTTCCAAAGCTGCATTCTCTGTTTTCTCTAATGGTTTCATTTATCCACTTTCATGCATACATACAAAGGGGAGTTAGTGTATGTTTGTTTGTTTAGACTAGTTATGTATTAGCGTTTAGTTAAAGGTGTAATAGGTGATTGTCTTCAGAAACATTTTTTGTTATGCTGGTTGAAAGTCTCTTCACATCCCGATAGCAATCAATAACTTAAGTGGTCTAAATGTATTCATCTGTATTTATATATTCTGTGGAAGGCGAAGGACCAAGAAATGTGTGGGAACTGGATCAGAATGTCACAGCTAAATAGTAAACACCCAAACAAAAAAGGTACATATGTTAGCCAACCAATTACGTGAATGACTGATTTAACATTACCGTTTGTAAACCAAAATCTTGCTTCATCCTCTATCATTACTAAAAGTAGTAAGAACGTACAGTCTGCATTAATTGACACAATTTTAGGTAATAGTGGGCCTACAGCTGACAAGCTGATCTATTTCATGAAGACAGTAACGTAAGTTAACCGTGTGAAGCAGACGTCAGTAAAATGATGGGTACACAACAATAGGTTGGAGCTGTGGTATCGTTTTAAAAAAAAGTTTTTTTTTTTTACCACTTACTCTTCACATCCTCATCCTTTAGACGTGAACAAGGCGCATTTGCTTTTGCACCGCAGAAAACAGCATCATCTTGACAATGTTGACAACACAAACCACCTAGTGTGGGTCAAAGTAGACATTTTTTTGCAGGCAGCCAATGAAAACCACAGGCTGGCATAATGCAAACTTGTTTACGGCTCTATGTAGTCAAGTTACAGAATTGCTGAGGACTCGTTTCTGCAGTTAAGAATCAATTTATTCTTTTAGGAGACAATAACTTTGTTGTGCACTTTGAGCTTTAAAACTTTGCAGACCTTTTACATTCACAAACGGCTATACAGTATTACACACTGCATGAAAGGTAATATTTGAAAAGGCATAATAGGGGCACTTTAATAACTGGTGGGAAAATGATCATTAAGATGTCATTTTTTATGAAAAATAGGCAGAGATGGAAGCTGACCATTGTTTTATTTGTTTGTTCAGGTTTTGAAGCTGCATCCCACTTTAACTCCAGTGAAAGTAGCCTTGGATATGGGACGAGGCTCCAGTTCTGAGCTTAGACAGGTACCAAGGGACAAACATATAATTGTTATTATAATTAATGTTATAATTACCATACAAAAGTTCAGAGTCAGTATTCAGTAAGTTGTTGTTGTGTTTTTAAGAAATTATTTTACTTGAAAGGATGCAATAATTTTTCAAAAATGACAGTAAAGACTTTTACATTATTACAAAAAAAGAGAAAAGAATAACAGCAAACCAGACACTTTTCTGTATTGCATTCTCAAGTTCAAGGTGGCAGTGTAAAACAGTGAATCTAATTATTAGCATACAAAGATTAGTGCAAATAGAAAGAGAAAGGGTGATCTAAATTATTCTGATGCACAATACACAATCTTACACAATCTTACCTTTTTTTATTATTATTATTTTTGTTTAAATTCCCCCTTTCAGGCTGATTTTCACACAAAATGAAATTTTCATACAAATAAGTCCTCCATACTAGCATTCTGCTGTAAAAATGATTTCCTGCTGTAAAATATAATTACATCTCAAATAATATCAAATAATAAAATGAACAGCATTTTCCAGTAAAAAAAAAAAAAACATTAAAAAAATGGCCATAAAAATTAAGAGAAGTCTCAAATGTTAAATGTTCTGCAGTCACAACATAATTTAGCCCTAAAAAATTTAGGACTGACACTTGAACCCTTTCCATTTAAATTGACCATGAAATTTAAAATATTTGCAGTCTTGATCATTACTTTTGGATTTAAGTAAAAATCTGTAATTTGGTGGTTTTTGCAATACCACAGGGTACTCACTCAAAAAAAAAAAAGGTAAATTAAAAATGATCATGCAACCAACTTTATAATTTGTGTACCACTTGAGATGGATTGCTCCTAAGACAAATGTTCTCTCTTAAGATTTGTGAGGGTTTGTTCCAAGAGTTTCTTGAAGCTGGAATTTCCACATGGCCTGGATACTTGGACACAATGTCATTATCTCTGGAGAATTTACACACAAAGTAACTGACTCTGTCCACACTTACTAAACAATACTCAGTAAAGCTTTTTGACAAAATATTTTATGAAATTGTATTTATTCTGCAGGTATGATGAGATGGGTGTCCTTTTCACAGTGATGGTCAGTGAGAGCACACTAAAAAGTGGCCTTCTGCTGGTCCGTAACAGAGACACCACCATCAGAGAGACTATGCACATCTCAGAAATCAAATGCTTTTTGCTCAAATACATATCTGCCTCAGATAATTTCTGACTTTTATCATTTGAATCTCATGTCATATGCTATTAGTGTATGCCATTTGTAAAAAATATATATATTTAGGAAAAAAAAAAAGTGTGTGTATGCATGCATGTGTGTATATGTATGTGTATATATAAATGTGTGTGTGTGTGTGTGTGTATATATATATATACACACACACACACATATATGTATGTGTGTGTATGTATATATATATGTATGCAAAGATTTCATATAAAACTGTATCATCAGCAGTACCATCCTGAAATTGAATTTATTCTGACTATGCTAATTAACATGTACTGTATTTCCAAGTTTTGGGAAAGTTTGTAAAAAAAAATTACATTATTTTTTTCATGGATTGAAATGTGAAATGTTTTCCTTTATACATACACACACACACACACACACACACACATATATATATATATAAATTATAGTTAACGCAAATATCTACTCAGCCAATCACATGGTAGCAACTCCATGCATTTAGGCATGTAGACTTGTCCTTGAAACTGAGTTCAATATGTGGAAGAAAGGTGATTTAAGTGACTTTAAACATGGCATGGTTGTTGGTCCCATATGGGCTGGTCTGAGTAGCCTGTTTCAGAAACTGCTTATCTACTGGGATTTTCTCTAGGGTTACAGAGAAAAGGGTCCGAAAAAGAGAAAATATTCCAGTGAGTAGCAGTTCTGAGTGCAAAAATGCATTGTTGATATCAGAAGTTGAAAGAGAATGCTTAGTTCGAGCTGATAGAAAGGCTACAGTAACTCAAATAAGCACTTACAACCAAGGTATGCAGAAGAGCAGGGCCGAGCAGAGACCTTTGGAGGGGCAGGTGCTCAAAGTATAAAAGGAGCACATGGAGCACGGCTTTTAATAGGGCTGTGCTCCTTGCTGAGACATGTATCGAAACGGATGCTTCTGTATTGATAGCAGCAAATGCCGTGATGCAGTGTTGAAAAAGAAACATAACAGAAAAGACCATTTTAAGTTTAAAAGTTAAATATTTATTTGCACCTCTTAATCACTCTGAAGATAGAAACGGAATTAAATTAGGCCTATTATTATTGAGTTTACAGGGTTATGGTGGTTTTGCTGTTGTAAACACTACTGTTGTTGTAGAAAAAATATTTCTGTCTTATTTAAAATATAATTATATTATAATCCTGTTCTGAATTTATTCATTTTTTAAATTATAATGATGATAAAAACAGGATTGATAAGTAGCCTATAAATCGGAGGATGAGAAAATCAGTATAAGCCTGTTTTTATCACGGTTGTGATAATTATTTTAAGCCACTCTACGTTTTTAAAAAATAAATACTGTAATAAAAAAAGTTCAAAGTAATAGTTTTTTAGTCAGATAACATAAAGACAAGACCCCTCGACGCCCTTTAAACTTTTCCCAATCAAACAGCAAGCACGAAAGAGAACAGTCACCTTTGTTTATATTGCTGTGTGTAGAACGTTAGCTGCATTTTTAATATTTAATTTTAAAGAAATGTAATTTCCCCCGCACTTTATTCGGGCAGGTGTTCACGTAGAGGTTTCTAGATTTCAATTCAAAGAGACAGTATCGATAGTCTATGCATGACCTGACGTTTTATTCGTATCCAAAATGAGGAGAAGTGAATATCTGGCGCGCTCAACACTCTCATGCAGTGTATGTTTAAATTCATACTCGAAGCCGGAGGGCGCTCTCGTGCAGTAAGTCCAAAACAAGGAATGACTTATGACGTGCAGGAAACCCTAATATGGACAAAAGCATCCGGCTATCGCTGTAGCTGAGCTGAATAAAAAGCTGAAAAAAAACGAGAAGACAATAAACACGATTGCGAAAATATACGGTTTATGTGTGTTTTTCAAGTTATCTACAGGTAATAAGTAAACTTGAATAATGCAGTGCTGATTGACATATCATTTAGTAGCCTATATAAACTATAAATGTCCTGCCTTACCCAGCAAACGGGACGTCCCCAGTTTAGGTCCGCAGTACTCCGCTTTGTAACGTTCGCGGGAGGACGTCCGGATTTGGTCCGCTGTGTAACGTTCGCTGGCGGACGTTTTGAGGACGTCCACTTACGTCCGCATTTGGTCCTCTTTTTGACGTTCGCTGGCGGACGTTTTGAGGACGTCC